GCCATAAAAATAGCCTGACCTTCACAAGTTGGAAGTTGACTCCATTCAACTTGATCTCCCTTCAGCGTACATTGGATGAAAGGCCGCCCACGTAATCTAAACCTAAAGAAAAGAGAAAAAGTTTCTTACCTAACTCTCTAATTATTCCTGTAATAGTCCAGAACTTGGGGAAAGGGGTTCTTTCTGCCAGTAAGTGACCCTGTACGATCATTCCTGCTGTAAGTACCAACATGATCCCTAGGACCAAGGAATGCTGATTGGTTAAAGTCAATGTAGAACAAGCAAATAGGTGGGTATAAGATTGCAGAGACCATGTTAGCAGGTGAAATCCTTCCCCTTAAAGACTATCCTAGCCAGATGCTTGGGAATTTCTGGGCAATATCTTTGTTAAACCTTAGCAAAGGGAAACAAATAAGTCTCTTTTCTACACATTTTTAATGCTTCTTATATCTTACATCTCCAGAAGGTGGAAGAAGTCCCGAGATAAGTTCCAGAATTTAAAAAACACTAAGGAAATTAGTAATTTTTCAGACTGTTAATCTTCTCAAAATGTTCGCATGTGAAAGAGGTTTGGATTTGCAGAGTAGGAGGCTGCCTCACACCTCCCTCCTTCCAATCTGCAGAACGGTGCTCGGGATGTGGGCTGCTGGCATTCTACAGCTTGGATTACTGTCCCAGAGAAATGGGGAGCAAAGTACTAAAAGGGGTGTCTCTGTCACTCGGGAAGTCAGTAGCTCAGCCTGCTTAGTGCCATCATTCCTCTGCCTATTTTAACTCTGCTCTTCTACCAAAGAGTTGGCAACAGTCTACATCCAAGACCCACTTAGCTAGACCTCTAGCTAATTCTTGCACAGGAAGTTCTGCATACTGGCAATGCAGTCACTTAGCCTTTACTACTTCCTTTAACACTACAGGCTAAAGGTCATGGCCTTATTTATTTGTCAAGGAGGTTTAGAGAAACAGATGAGAGGTGCACCTAGTAAAGCTGGTCTCTGCAGGTTCTTTCACCGGTCTGCTGAAAGGACAGGGGCCACCAAGGATAGACATGAACATCATTTGTGGCCAGGTGGCTACCGCTTTTCTTCCAACTTAGAACATTACACCCAAAGGCCACTTGTGCTGACAGCAACAACAGGGGGAGAAGACAGCTGCACAAGGACTGTCTCGCTGCTGCCACTCTTTCAAATCCTGAACATCTCAATGTCCAATCCTAATTAGCCCATTTAAACCCAAAGCTTTCATTGGCGGACACAATTCCAAGGTGGGCAGCTCCTGTACACTTCTGCATAGGACAATGTGAAGTATCACAACAACAGCTTGGTCATTCTTGTGGGTGCAACTCAGCTGCAGTATTGCCTAGAGGAAAAACCACTGGACTGGGACTCAGGAAACTTGGATCCCATTCTCATTTCTGCCTCGGGCCTGTGCGTGATCTTGGGAAGTCACTTCCCCTTCTGTAAAATGGGGTAAACAATACTGCCCTCGTTCGTAAAGGGATTTGATCTCTGATAACAGTTAGTTGTTATTACATCCCCTGAGAAGTAGGCTGATGGCTCAGCTACAGGAAAAGGCCTTCTCTCTGTCTCCCAATCTCTGTGGGGTTTGAAGACAGAGAATCATAGGACTGGAAGGAACCTCAAGAGGTTTTCTAGTCCAGTCCCTTGCTCTCAGGCAGGACTAAGTATTATCTAGACCAGGGTCTCAAACACGCGGCCCATGTTTTGGGGCACCTGCCACCCCCACACGCCCCCCCCCGGAGTGTCTCCCGGCCCCCACTTGCTGCCTCCTCACTGCCCCGGAGCCTGGAGTCTGCAGCACACGTTGAATCCGCTCCGCTCTGCAGGCTGCCGGCAGGTCCTAGTATCCCTCTTCACTAGGGCCAGGGCAGGCTGCCCTTCCCCTGCCCTTCTGCCCTAGTCCTGAGCCTCTCTCTTCAGGGAGGTGCTGCCACCCTGGAGTCGCTCTAGGTAAGCGGCGCCAGGCCGGAGCCCGCACCCCGCATCCCAACTCCCTGCCCTGAGCCCCCTGCCACATCCCACACCCTCCCGCACCCCAACTCCCTGCCCTGAGCCCCCTGCCACATCCCACACCCTCCCGCACCCCAACCCCCTGTCCGGAGCCCCCTGCCACATCCCACACCCCAACTCCCTGTCCTGACCCCCTGCTGCACCCCACACCCCGACCCCCTGCTGCACCCCACACCCCAATTCCCTGCCCTGAGCCCCCTGCTGCACACCTCCTGCGCCTCAACTCCCTGCCCTGAGCCCCCATCACACCCCACACCCCTCCTGCACTGCCTGGGGGCAGAGAGGGGGCAGAGTTGGGGTGAGGACTTCAGGGAAGGGGTTGGAATGGGGGTAGGGAAGAGGTGGGGTAGGGGCGGGGCCTCATGGAAGGGGTGGAGTGGGGGCGGGGCCGGGGGCAGCAAGGGGTGGGTGTCAGTGATGCAGCCCTCGGGCCAATGCACTAGTCCTCATGCGGCCCTCGTGGTCATTTGAGTTTGAGACCCCCGATCTAGACCATCCCTGACAGGCGTTTGTCTCACCTGCTCTTAAAAATTTACAATGACAGAGATTCCACAACTTCCCTAGGCAATTTATTCCATAATCAGCCCCTCCCAATCATCCTGATCCCAGCACAGGGAATCTAACCCTTGTTGCCTGCACATATCACCTACATGGGTGACACAGTGAAAAACAAAATGATATATGAATTAAAACGAAGACATCCATGCTCATGCCATGTGCTTCCCTGTTCAATGACTCTGATGTCCTGAAAGTACCTGCACAATCCAATGAAACTAGAACCCAATCACGTATTATGGTAGTTTTTCCAACAGCAGCTTGAACAAATTGAAGCACACCCCATGATACCATAGCTGCACCTGCTTCCTCCCAACTTAATCTTTCAACTGGAGGACTGAGGGATCATGATCCACACCTGGCCAAATTCAGCGTGAAGGTTATACTTTTTCAATAGGGCCCTGCAGCCAGGACACCAGATCTGTAGCACCTGCGCAGATTAGGTTTTTCAATTAGATCGGAATTTCTATTATTCATTTTCCACTGTTCACCAAACTAAGCTCTGTGAATTAATCAGCACAGGCTGCCCAACACTCACCCGTCATCACAAATGATGTTTACGCTTGCACCATACAGGTAATTTGTTGTATCAACAGCTCTGCCATGCTCTGGTCCTTTTGGAACACCACACGATTTCCCTAGCACAGAACAAGATCAGTGTTAGCGTGTTATGTTGATGCAACAAACTCTAACAGACTTAGAAGAGACTATGGCTGGGGTGACTAAACTGTGGCTCGCGAGCCGCATGTGGCTCTTTTACAGTGAAAGTGCAGCTCACGGAGCCCCCCTACCAGACTTTGGGGGGGGGGGAGAAATCTTGGGACCTCAGTCTTGGACCAGGCTGGTGGGCTTCTGCCCAGCAGCATGGCAGATCTCAGGGCTTTAGCAGGAGTGGGGCTGAAGCCCTGAGCCCCAGCAGGTGCCTGCTGCTCCGGCTCTTGAACTTCTGAAGATTGTTGTGTGCGGCTCGAGGGCTCAGTAAGTTTGTCCTCCCCTGCACTATGGCAATGGCAGACTAGCAGTGCAGTTAGTTCACTCTCCTCTCGGGTTTTTTTTCCTACTTAACTGTGGATATTCTTATGTCCATATTAAGTGTTAAATTCTATCACTTTGTCAACTTCAATGGCAGAGACTCTTCCTACCTGGTACAGGGAATTATTTGTGATGCTTCCTCTGGTGCCAGGCACTTATTACCAGACAGCACACATCATCAGACACTCACCGTGTCCACATGCCAAACAGAAGAGACCTGCTGCATTCAGGGACCACAGAGAAAGCTACAAACAGCACTAATGAGTATATTGGGAAAACATCTCTGTCCTTGATGGGGACAAGGATTTTTGCACATAAAAATATATGGCCCATTATATACATCCAGTATTTTCCTAAGCAGGCATGCCAGACTACTTCAGTTTAAGACTGCACAAGAAATTCACATCAGTATTAAGACATATTCTGTTTGACAGAAATAGGTTATAACACCTACATACAAAGAGCTGCGGTTAAGGGTGATCACTCAGTTGGCTCCTTCCTCTCACCCTGTATTAACGTAGATTTTGCATGGAATACAACAGACACAGACTCAATACAGGGAGCTTTGCCAACACTTTTAGTATTCTTCACAATGCAGGCCATTCGTCAGTGAAGTTTTGTTATGTATTTTGGTATTTGAACAACTTTGCCATACACATAGTTATTAAATATTGCATTTATTTTTTAATACGGTGATTCAATTTGGTTGAACTGTATGCTGAATGAGTGGTCTCTGAGGCTAGAATTTTTAAATGTGTGAATTTTAACAATGACAAAAATAATACTATTATTCTCCTTCACATATAGCTCACCATTGTTAAATGAATATTTACCACAGTATGATATTAACTTTACTGCGTTGTTTGTGATTTCCTCTTGCTGCTGGGAAGCACAACGAACACAATGAAAAGCTTAGCTACTGCAAGCGCTGTCTAACGTTCAATGGCACTCACTTTGCTTTCTCTCTACATTTAAAGCGGAATTCAAATTTCAAATCAAAACCTGACAAAAAGGGTTTTCAAACTAACATGGACAAGCCGGTGCTGAAATGTGAACCAGCTGCTTAACACAAAACACTCCTATCTGCTCACAGAGGGCCACTCGCTCAATGGAGAGAGAAAAGTGACAAAAAAGACACCCACTTCTACAGAACTCAGGGGCTTCTGACCATGTTGAATTCTCAAGACAAGTAATGACAGGTCTCAGTTCGGTGCTCTCATATCCTGGACGACAGACATAACTCACAGTGGTCCCAGGAGGACAGTAATTCTTCGCTGCATCTTCCGCACTTAAGGCAGCAGATTTTAACCTTGGTGTGGCACCACAGCCACCTAGCAAAAACAAACGAACAACAAACAAAAACATGGTCTGAAAGATTTAGCTATAAAGATAGGCATAAAAATTGTACTTTTAGCTTTATGTTTATAAATAAACACACACACACACACACACATTTAAAAAAAAACAGAAAGACAGCTCTGTAACATAAGTGAAAGGTACCAAACAGGTACCCTGCCCCAAAAGTTTATAATTTAGAGATAGGGTGACCAGATGTCCCATTTTTAAAGGGACAGTCCTGTTTTGGGGGACTTTTTCTTATATAGGCGCCTATCCACCCCCCACCCCCTGTGCCGTTTTTTCACAGTTGCTCTCTGGTAACCCTATTTAGAGGCAGCAGCAGCTATTACAGTACAGCCACAGCACTGCATATGAGCATTAGAGCAGGACACTTTACAAAATATGTAGGGGAAGGGAGATTTAAAAAAATTATTTTTAAGGAAGAGAGGCAAGCAACTTGGACAAAGTTAACTGGGTGCTGCTCCAAATAGTGGGTGGTACAAAGTAAGGAGTAAAAAAGAAAAGGAAGGAGCTAAGAGAGAGAGAAACGAATTAGTAGATTAAAGCATGCAGAAAGAGAAAGACAGATTTTCACCTGCACCTCATCTCCAATTCTAAGGCTTGGTCTACACTACCCCCCTAATTCGAACTAAGGTACGCAACTTCAGCTACGTGAATAACGTAGCCGAAG